CGTGGGGTGGGGTGGGGTGGGTGGCATCCAAATGAGAGGAAGTTTGGTTTTCTTGCCAGGAGGGAATCAGTTGCAAACATCCAGGGGGCATTTCAGGCATTTAGAGATTTTTTTTTTAAATTTTTTTTTCAGGGGTGGCACAAGTTGGTGAAAACTAAATGGTTGATAATAATAACCTTCATGTCGCCGATGCAGAGGTTTGTAGGTGTATATGAGTCTAGGAGAAGAGGGAAGAAGAAGAAGGGGTGGTATCTGGCACAAAAACATTTAGGAGAAAAAAAAAAACGGTCCTCCTCGCGCAGGCTTAAATTAACACTAGCTGTTCAGAACAGGGCTGTTTATTACTGTAGGCTATAATGGTGCTACTGAAAGGACAAGAAAGGGTGGGAGACAGAATGGGCTGGGAAGCACAAGGGGGAAGGAGGGTGCGGGACATGAGCAGAGTCATCAGCAGAGTCCATTTTATCATTTGGTCACTGCCTGACATTTCTCCTCTCTCGTAAAGCGGGACGACTGCGGCGTCTGCAGTCCGCGGTGGGGCGAGGGCGAGGGCGGCCTTCGGTGGGCGCACTGCAGTAAATATGACGGAATTTTCACAGCCCAGTTTTACCGTTCACTGCAACCGTGGCGCGGCGGTCGCACCCAGGTGCTTGTCTGGCTCTGAACGCGTGCCAGAAGAGTCGGTGTAGCTTCTCCGCTCGTTAACGTGTTCCAGAGACTTTAACTAAGACCTGGTCCATCTCTGGTCGCACCAGACCCTTCGCTTTGGACCAACGAAAAGGAGCCGTTCATCGCCTCCCATTCAAATGTTGTCCTAAAGGACAAGTAGGTCAAAGTCAAAGAGTCTGGCGTCGGACTCTCAGCAGCAGCAGCCGTGAAAATCAAACCACCGGTTGTTTTATCAATACTTGATCTTTACCTTAAAAGTTAGGAGGTTTTTTGTTTTTTTTTTTTCAAACCCTCTAACCATTGAAGAGCATGCGTTAGCTGTGACTCTCCTCCCCCCTTGAGAAGTTCACCCCCCCACCTACGCA